AGCCTGGACCTGGCAGTGGTACCAATGAAGGCTGGGGACTCCAGTGCTCTCGCCTCCCTTACCTCCCCTACTCAAGGAAGCCCCTCGGGATAGACAGTGGCTCTGCTGTCTTCACCAGGCCACCATCCATTCCCTTCCTCCAGGTAACAGCATGCCATTTCCTCTCAGAAGCTGCCTTCTCCCGAACTCAGACAGTAGGGTTCAGATGGGACTGTTATCGTCAGCTACCCGTCCCTGCCAGCTTCAGATCAGGGCTTGTGAGAACAGCCCTGGGACATTTCGTGTAATCGTTCTTGAAGGGGCCAACCACCCTTCTCCCTTTGAGGGTGGCTAAACTACTAGAATGGGGCTGCGAGGACCATTTTGCCATGGGGGGTAGGGGAGGGGGAGATGGAGGGGAAGGGGGAAGGGGAAGTGGGTCTAGGACTAAAACCAACATAGAAAAATACAAAGCGCAGAGCTGAGAAAAGCCTTAAAGGCATCTCCTGTGATCCAAATCCAGCTGATCCCTAAATCATGCATCCTGAGCTCAGAAAGTAAGCTCAGATTGCTAGAGACCATGTTATCTCAAACGATCTTGTTCCTGAGTTTTAGACAGCAAATGGCGAGTCAGAAAGAGGATTCCTCTGAAAGACTTATCTCAATTTACTCAAATCCTGAGTGCAGTGAGAACTCAGGTGGAGTTTTGATAGCAGGGTATCCTTGTATTTATAACTGCACAAGCACCTGGACCCAGCCATACCTGAAGCCATCACTTAATCTTTCCAGTTACATGTGTCCAAAAATCCCCCATTGTGGCTGAAGTCAGTGTAATCAGGATTCTGGCAGCGATGAAGCTGCCTGCCTTTGCGTGCACACATGCACATACATCCTTCCTGACTTCCACCCTTATGCTCCCAAAGCAGAGTGTAGTTCTTAAGGAAAGCCTACCTCCTTCCAAGGATCTGCTACTCTGCTCTCCTTCCTCCTCTTCTTCCTTTTCAAAGCTGGCTCCTCAATGCCTGGCTGCTGTGCACTTTTGGACGTCATTTTCTTCTTTGCAGGGAGCTTGGAGCCATGTCCTATTGGGATGTATTCTGGAGCCTCAACTTTGATTAGCTTTTTTTTACTTCCTTTCCTAAGGTTGTTCTCCGTAGACCTGGAGAACTCCAGGTGTCCTAGGGGTGCGTCTCCCTCCTGATGGGTTTTCTTTTTCTTCTTTATTTTCATGCTGTGCTCCGTGGGGCTCCTCTGCTTCCGTTTCTGCCCTGAGGCTGCCTGCTCCACCCCACCCTTCCCCACAGACCTTGCATACAGAGACTTATCAGCTGTAGGGTTTCTGGCTGAGAAGGCTGCAGCCTCCTGGGTCTTTTTCTTCTTGTGTTTTTTGAGCTTCTTGCCGACTCCTGTCACCTCCTCACCACGTCTGTGGTCTGGGGAGGTCTTCACCTTCGAGCCAGGGGACATGGCCAGAGGCCACAAGGACTTCCTACTCTTCTTTTTCTTCTCCCCACTGAGGAACTCAGATAAGCTGAGCACCTGCTTCCTGGGGCTAGGCGACCTCTCCTTTGGTCTGGCGTGTAACATGACCTCAGATTCTAGCTGCTCCTCACAGACGGTGCTGTGGCCCTTCTTTTTCTTTTTCTTCTTCTTCTTCACTAGAGACATCTCAGATGCTTTCCCTTGGACCACATTTTTCAAGGGGGATGTGGCTCTTGTGGGACAGACCTCACTGAGATAGTTGTCACTGTTTAAAACTGAGTATTGAGTCTCTGGTTCTTTGACCACTTTCTTCTTTTTCTTCTTTTTCTCTGGCAGCCCAAGGCCCAGGTCTCCTTTGTGGGTCTTGGTGATCATTCCTTGGGGCAAAAAAAGCCAAAAAGGTACAAGTTATCCCCATGCCGAGGTGCCCTGTACACAATTCGACTAGGTATTGTCAAGACCCATGTTTCTTTGAGTGGAGAGTCTGAAATGCTATGGAATGGGCATGATTCCTGGGGAGCAAAGGGAAACAGGATCAAAATAGAATAGAGTTGAAATTTGCACAACCCGAGGTTCACATCCAAACTTCTCCCTCTAGCCAATCACCCATCTGCCCTGAGTCTTAATTTCCCCATCTGGAAAATAACACTTCCTTCCCAAAGGGCTGTTAGAAAGAATAAACGATAATCCATGGAGGGTGCTTGGTACCTTGCTGATAAGTCTCTGAGCCTAGTCGTCCATTCACCAGACTTTACCGGCTGCCTACCCCGTGCCTGCCACTGAGGGCACCACTGCAGTCAAGCCAGACAGACCAGCTGCTGCCCTCAGGGCTTGTCTTTGACAGAATGAAGGCCTTCTTGCTGAGTCTCACAAGTGGCAATAATTGTGGCACAATTAATCCCTTACCTTGCTCCATCTCAGTAGCTCTTCTGCTTTGGGGTCTGGAAATTTAACTCCTCCCATCTGCACCCTGCATAACTTACCCTCCCAATTACCTTCCTGTGAAGCTAGTAACAAGAGGAGCAGCAAGCTACAGTAAAGGGTAGTACTGACAGGACCTGGGTTCAGAAGGTGACTGTGACACACTCTTGCTGCACAGCACTGGCTTCTCTGGCCTCAGTTTCCCCATCCATAAGAGGAATTGAACCAGATAAGACATTGTCAAGGAGAGGGGAGGTTTTAGGGGCCACATAGAACCTACATGTGTTTCAGTTTTAAATTTCAAAATATAGTTGAACCTTGAATAATGCAGGGGTTAGGGACACCAACCCCCCAGCTGTAGTCCACCTATAATTTATAACTACCCAAAACTTAACTACTAATATCCTGGTATTGACTGGAAACTTTACCAAAAAGTTAACACATATTTCATATGTTGCATTACATAAAGTATTCACACAATAAAGCTAGAGAAAAATTTTTTCAAGTTGTTGCCAAGTCCCCCCAAATTTTCCAATGTATTTATTGAAAAGAATCTGAATGCAAGTTGACCCATGCAGTTCAAACATGTGTTGTTCAAAGGTCAACTGTAATTGCCAACATTTATTGACTGAAGGTAATGACACAGAACCACCTAGAATGGCCAGCTTTTTTTGTTTTTTGTTTCTGGAAAATGTCATGGAGGCACTTGTGAGAAGGGGCTGGAGCCCTCAAGTACATTTCATCTTCTAGCTGGACCACTTCTCTTACTCCAGTCACCAGCCCAGTTCCTGCTGCTCCCTGAACTAGGAGACAGAGACACTCAAGGAATCCATAAACAAAATATACCCTCTGTAGGAGAAAGTTCCTATGGCCAGGTTTCTCACCTGACCCTAAACCACTCAACGATGTAACTGGCCTACTAAGTGAGCTAACACCTACCCACCTGTTGGCAATGAGTCATTACTGTCTGTGTGCTATATAAAGAGCTCTGCCCTGAGCTCCTGGCTGGCTCCTGCAGGCAGAGACTGAGGTGGGGTGCGGGCTTCCCAGAAGACATGATTCTAGCACTCAACCTGCCACCATGAGAGTAAAGCTTGTTATAACCCCTTTTATCTGTAACATTCCATTGAGACTGAATCCACAGTGAACTTGCCCAGGGAGCAATCTCCCTCAGGTGAGATACCCCCCACAGGAGGTTTATACAAAGGAAGGGAAAGGCCAGAAGCTTCTCCATCCTGCAGCTCTCCTTAGCCTCGGAGCCCAGGAGAGCCATACTGGACCTGGCTTACTACCAACAGCTTCAAAGAACCAGGCCAGGACTGCATTTATGGCTCAGGTTCATTCATAACTCACTCTAGCAGCACTTGGAGCATTGAGGAAACACCCTTTATTCACTTATGTTTTCTGCTATATTCCTACAGCCTAGCTCTGTACCTGGCACACAGCAGGAACTCAATAAATACTGAGTGAATAGAGATACACAGATGAACAAGATAAAACACTTGCCAACAATGAGCAGGTAGTTGTGGAAGGGAAAGAGGTGTGATAACTGACGGTGCAAGTGATAAGAGCAAGAATAGTGGTAAGGTCAGGATAATGGACGTCATCCAACCTGGCCTATTATCAGGAAAGTTTCTCAAACAGAGGATTCCATCTTGGGTAACTCTGCAGGATGGTGGTGCTAATCTCTGAGGAAAAGGAACTGAAGGTGGGGTGGCTGGGGGGCTGGGAGACAGGCTGGAGATAACCCAAGTGAAGAGTTCTGGGGACAGATGTGCATGTGGGTCTGAGGCTTGGGGTGACTGAGCTAACATCGATGACAAAAATGTAGAAATAGATGGATCGTAATTAAGGCTTGAACAGAACGAACCTCAGCTTGCAAAGGCGAGGGATAAGGTGCGAACCTGGAGAGGGTGGAGTCAAGAAAGCCAGGAATCTCTCGGATATGGGAAGAAGGTCCTTACAGCGCGTCTCCTGCAAATGCAAACGCTTTCTCCAAAAGCTGTTAAATTCTCGCGGTAGTCCGTGAATACCCCATCTCAAACAGTTTCTAATTGATGCTTGCACACTTTAGTTCACTTATAATTGGTACTAACGTGTGGAAGTGGCAAAACTGAGATTTGAACTCAGCCCAAAGGACTTCGGAACGTCTACGCTCTACAGAATGGCACTAACACCCCAGTCTCCCCGCAAAGGAGCCTGGAGAGGAGAACTGTCCCTGAGAGCCTCAGCCGAGCCACAGCTTACGCACAAACACACACAGGTATTAACGCAGTTCCGGGCCCCGCTCCAAGGCGGAAGAACTTCCTGGAGGCGGCGGCCTCAGCCGGGGCAAGAGCACACCGGCGATCGAGGCGTGGATCGGAGAACGCAGGCCGCCCGCTTTTCCCTGTTCGTCGTGCTCATCCCCAGGCCCACTCTCCAGACCCCGCACCGTCCCCGCTGCGTCGCGTCCCCCACACTCACCCGCAGACCAAACTTCCCCACCTCCACGTGAAAGTTCGTTCCACAGTGACCCGGAAATTAATAGCAAATCGCTGGCTCGCCCCCGTGACTTCCGGCTCCTTCCGGGTCGCAGGGGGCGTGTGGGGAGCGCGGTTGCCGTGGAAACTGCGGCAATGGCGGCCCTGGGGGCGGCGGGCAGCCGCATAGCCGCGCGCGAGGAGCCGGCCGGCTCAGTGGAGTCCTCGGTCGTCACCCCAATGCCATTGCCCACCGTGTCCCCCGAGCTGCCTGTCTCCTCGGGGCAGGGCGCGGAGCGGGGAAAGAACCTGTGGGAGCAGATCTGCCAGGGTAGGCAGTCCGGCGCGCGAGGAGAGGCGGGCCTTGGGGCCCCGCGGACGGGGACCTACTGTGCGTCAGGCGGCTAACGCCCCAGGGCCCCCGGGCTCCCATGCTACGCACCGGGGAGCTGAGGCCCCGAGAGGCTTGCCCCGTAGTCAGGCAAAGGCAAGGAAAGCGGAATAAAGGTGACCAGGTGGTGTTGCACCAGTGGTGCTCAAACCTCAGCGAACAGAGGAAATAACCGCCGGGATAGAGATGGGAGCCTGTTTAAAATGTGGGTTCCAACGCCCCGCCCTCAGAGCTGCTAACTAGGTGCCGGGAATCTTGCACTTGCACGCGGGTAATTCTAATGTAGATATTCATGGTCCGCACGTTGAGCAAGCATGGTCTATGCAGACTGGGTTTAAATCCCTCTCCACTTCTGATCTTCCTTAAAATCCTAAACGGAGTTTAGCTCACCTTTTGTGGCCCCTTCCCTTACCCTTGGATATGAGGCCTTACAATACTTTTCACACACTTTGGACAAGTTATTTAACTTGTAACTGTCTGTAAAGTAAGCATAATAATGACATCTGTTTTATGGTGTTAGGAGGAGGCAGATAGTCACAGAAAATGCTTAGCAAACTGCCCGATCTACTGTAGGGTGGTTTTGTTCCTCCTCTAGGCCACTGTAAGCTCCTCGAAGTTAAGAATTACGAGTTTTCATTTTTGTGGCCACCAATAGAACGTTCAAGTATGGTAATCACATTCAATTGTACTGTATGCTGAAGCTATTATATGTCAATTATATCTTAATAAAGAAAATTTGGCAGCCCCTAGCCGCATATGGTTATTGAGCACTTGAAATGTGATTAGTGCAGCTTTGGGACTGAGTTTTTAATTTTACTTAAGTTTTAACAACTTCAGGTAGCTACATGTACTTAGTGGCTATTGTATGGGACATGATAGGTCAGCAGATGTTTCTTGAATGGATAAAAGAATGAACGTACTAGTACATGGAATTAGGTAGAAGAAGAAAGAGTGATTTGTTGAAAGATGTGGGAAATACAGAGGAGGAAGAGAATAATGGCCTCAGAGTTGATAGAACCCTCAAAGGTGTTATTTCACCTCCCATCCAGTGCTTCAATTACTTCTCCAGCATCACATTATGACCAGAAAGGTCTGTTTCATCTTACATGTTCTCCTTGTAACTTCTACCCGTTGCTCCTCACATCCTTGGCGCTATGACCCAAGCTGCTAATCGCTGTACCCTAAAGAATCCACTCAAATATTTGAAGGGGATTATTGTGGCTTTATCCGCAGGAAAGCAAAAGACAACTTTGACTTCTTCAAGTCAAACACCTTTTCATAATACAATTTACTGCTGGTGTGTTGTTGGGGAAGCTGTTCAACTTCATCTGTAAGAGGGAGGTAATCCTTGTACCCACCTCACAAGGCTGTTGTGAGGATGGAATAAGAATACACGTGACAGTGCTTAGCACAGGGCCTGGCATGTAGAAAGTGCTCGATAAATGTTCATTATTGTTAACAAAGAAACATGCTTTGCATTGTGTTTCAAAATCCTGAAATTTATTTTTGTCAAACAGGCCTGGAGGGAGAAAGCAAAGACAGAGGGTTCTGGTGCTCTCTGAAAAGCAAGAGTGTTGATGTCACCTACAAAATGATAGAGTTACAACATGAAGTTAATGAGGTCAAAGATGGTGAATTATACACACAGGCACTAAGATGATTATTAGAACTTGACAAGTAAACCAAATTTCTTAAACATTCTAACATTGTAATTTTCTCTACAAACATATAATGAATAAATTTAGCTTCTCACAACAAACATGAAAAACAAGCTTTGTTGTAATCCTATGTTTGAGGTTAAGTATTACATTCTATTAGGATATCGCCATTTAAAAAGCAAATTATCACAGTAAACAGGCCTGTCAGAAACTCAGTTTCAGGAAGATGAGATACAGAATAGGTAAATATCTAGCTTCAACAGGACCTTTACCTACGTGGCTGCTGTTGCTGTGTGAGTGTGTGTGTATATGCCTTTATAACTTTATAGTATTTGTAAATGTTCTTCAGTTTTCACCCTCATCTTTCCAGTGACGACTAACTCCGGGCTTTGTGTTCTCAAAAGCACTTGTATTACTGTTTCCTGCCAAGGCTTTTAATTGAATTGTATCATTGCTTGTGATTTTTAACTATAGTTTTAACCAAGACTGAGTCTTAAGTACTTGGGCTTACAGTCCTCTCTTTTGATATTGCTGTAGTTCCTGTATCAGCATCTTCATCATTGCCACTGATCTATCACCCCTAACACTCTGCTCTCAACCCTCAAAGCTGTCATAAAATCAGGTCCCTGCATCCCACCTGCCAGATACCAACATGGACTGGTTCTGAATCAATGCTTGTTCCCCCAACATAGCAACAGAGCACAGCTGTAGAAAAATGAAAACAGGCGGCTCTCAGCAGTGTTTATCATGAACATTCATAATGCCTTCTCCCATTGCTGCATCACCTTGTCTCAAGCTCGTACTTCCCTCCTCATCTGCTCTCTCTCACTCCCTCCCTCTCTTACATCCTTAATTTCTCTGCTGGCTTTTTCCCCTCCAAACATCCTCTGGTCTGTCACCTTGGGAAGACATCTCCTTTGACCTCTGTCAGCTAGGTCTTTTCTATCCATCTTGCCTTCACAGCCAAGCTTCTGGAAAGAACACACTATCCTTGCTCACACCACTGTTATTCCCATTCCCTTATCAACCTTTGCAGACCAGCTCCTACCTACCTCATGGCTCCAGTGAAATTATCCTGATAAATTCAGTCAACATATCTACCCATGCTAGTTTTAAGTTTTGTGCCAGGCATGACTCCATGTACTATGCTAGACACCAGCTTACTCCATCTCCATGAATGTTGCCATCATTCACACAGCTGCGCAGTCCAGAAATCAGAGATTCATCTTATATCTTCCCTTCCACGTTCCATGGTCTCCACATTCATTCTCCAGTCCTATAAATTCTACCTGCTTAATGTCTGTAACCCTGAACTCCTCAGCCTGTCATTCCCATGGCTCCTGCTTTATATCAGGTTTTACCATGGCCTCTTTGGATTGCTGCTATAGATTTTTTTTATTGAAATATCATTAATATACAATCTTATATTGGTTTCAAGTATACAACATAGTGGTTCAACAGTTACCCATATTATTAAATCCTCACCCCCACAGACACTAATAAATGGAAATTCATCCCATGCTTTTGGCTAGGAAGAATTAATATTGTCAAAATGGCCATCCTGCCTAAAATGATCTACAGATTCAATGCAATCCCTATCAAAATACCTACAGCATTCTTCAATGAACTAGAGCAAATAGTTCTAAAATTCATATGGAACCCCAAAAGACCCCAAATAGCCAAAGCAATCCTGAGAAGGAAGAATAAAACAGAGGGAATTATGCTCCCTGACTTCAAGCTCTACTACAAAGCTGTAGTAATCAAGACAATTTGTTACTGGCACAAGAACAGACCCATAGACCAGTGGAACAGAATAGAGAGTCCAGATATAAACCCAAGCATATATGGTCAATTAATATACGATAAAGTAGCCATGATATACAATGGGGAAATGACAGCCTCTTCAACAGCTGGTGTTGGCAAACTGGACAGCTACATGTAAGAGAATGAAACTGGATTATTGTCTAACCATGTACGCAAAAGTAAACTCAGAATGGATCAAAGACCTGAATATAAGTCATGAAACCATAAAACTCTTAGGAAAAAATATAGGCAAAAATCTCTTGGACATAAACATGAGCAACTTCTTCATGAACGTATCTCCACAGGCAAGGGAAACAAAAGTGAAAATGAATAAGTGGGACTATATCAAGATGAAAAGCTTCTGTATAGCAAAGGATACCATCAGGAGAACAACAAGACATCCTACAGTATGGGAGAATATATTCATAAATGACAGATCTGATAAAGGGTTGACATCCAAAATATATAAAGAGCTCACACACCTCAACAACAAAAAGCAAATAATCCAATAAAAAAATGGGCACTGGATCTGAACAGTTCTCCAAAGAAGAAATTCAGATGGCCAACAGACACATGAAAAGATGCTCCATATCGCTAGTCATCAGGGAAATGCAAATTAAAACCACAATGAGATATCTCCTCACAACAGTTAGGATGGCCAATGTCCAAAAGAAAAACAACAACAAATGTTGGTGAAGATGTGGAGAAAGCAAAACCCTCCTACACTGCTGGTGGGAATGTAAACTAGTTCAACCATTGTGGAAAGCAGTATGGAGGTTCCTTAAAAAACTCAAAATAGAAATACCATTTGACCCAGGAATTCCACTCTTAGGAATTTACCCTAAGAATGCAGCAGCCCAGTTTGAAAAAGACATATGCACTCCTATGTTTATCACAGCACTATTTACAATAGCCAAGAAAGGAAAGCAACCTAAGTGTCCAATTGTAGATGAATGGATAAAGAAGATGTGGTGCATATGCCCAATGGAATGTTATTCAGTCATACGAAGAAAACAAATCCTACCATTTGCAACAACATGGATGGAGCTAGAGAGTATTATGCTCAGTGAAATAAGCTAGGTGGAGAAAGACAAGTATCAAATGATTTCACTGATCTGTGGAGTATAACAACAAAGAAAAAACTGGAGGAACAAAACAGCAGCAGACTCACAGATCCCAAGAATGGACTAACAGTTACCAAAGGAAAAGGGACTGGGGAGGATGGGTAGGAAGGGAGGGATAAGGGGGAAAATGGGGCATTATGATTAGCACACATAATGTAGGGGGTTGGGGACATGGGGAAGGCACTATATACCGAGAAGACAAGTAATGATTCTATAGCATCTTATTACCCTGATGGACAGTGACTGTAATGGGGTATGTGGGGGGGACTTGATAATAGGGGAGTCTAGTAACCATAATGTTTAAGTAATTGTACATTAATGATGTCAAAATTAAAAATTAAAAAATAAATCCTCA